GGGCAATAGTTCGTAGGCTTCAGATTGTTCCTGCAACCAATCTCCGAGGGTAATCAGCGTGGGGCGTATGATCTTATTTCGTATTAAATGTTCGTTCCATTTCAAAATCATGGGCGATGGTAGTTTCTCAATGGCAGACTTGACGTTGCTCGCAGCTTTCAAGTCATCTAGGTAGCCCAGGTCCTGGAATGTCCAAACAATATTGTTAATTACGGTGGAGAATGCTGAAACACTACCAGCGTCGTCCTCCGCAACTGGTGCCACTTTCGAAAGCTTATCAAGATGGGCTTGGACTACGATATGAGGTTTTCCAAAGCGGTTTTCCAAACACTTCAACGCTCGGTGATAAAGGTTCCCGTTGTAGCGAAAGCCGGCGATTACGGATTTCGCCTTTCCTACAACGTTCTGTTGAAGGTGGGTCATTTTCTCGAAGGGTGACATCTCCGACCGGTGAATGATTGCTTCGAACATACCGAGCCAATCTGTCCACTTTAGAGGATCACCGTCGAACTTCGTAAGCGTAAGTTTTGGTATAGATTTGTGGTATGATATAGGTGCGGTCATTGGTTCGGTAAGTCGATTCTCGTTCGTCGTCGATGGTAGATTGGCAATCCATGAAGCGGTAGATTTTGCCTTTTCCTCTGGATCTTCTCGAAAAAGTTCGCTTAATTCGTTAGTGTTTTTATTATCGTTTATCACCTTTGGATTGGGGGTATTTCCGACTTCCGGCAGCTTATTTCCGAGTTCCCGTATCTTATTTCCGGTCTCAGCAGGAGTTCGATAATCCTCGCTAAAATCGCAAAGTCTTTTCTTCAAATCGTCTGAACTACCAGAACCGTCTGTTTCAGCCTCAGCCTCGATCAATCTAGCCTCAAGTTCGGCTTGTGCCGCATGATCTCTCGCTTCTTGTATGCGACGCCTCTCGGTTTCTTCTCTGGCAAGACGATCGTGCTCGAGTTTGGCTTGTTCGAACTTAGCAAGTCGTTCTCTTTCGATGCGCTCAAGTTCCTTTCGCCGAATCGATTCATCTTCTATTTGTTTGGTTTTCAGTTGTGCAAGCTTCGCTTTTCGTCGGGCTTCGGCTGCTCGTGCTGAAAGTTTCGAGGTAGAAGACGTGGTCGATTTTGCGTGCGTGCCTAATCCCGAGACGGAGGGGGGTTCATCTTCGCGTTCGTCAAGGTGTTCGTATGCTTTTGCCACAGTTTCGTCTGGCTTTTCGGCCATTTCCACGAACCATTTTTCGATAGATTCGTGTTCCTGTTCGGGTAGAAGTTCGTAAAGCTTGCGGTTACAGGAATCCGCGCTCTGGACTTGGTTTTCTATTTTCGTGACCAAAGCTCTGATTAGCGTTCGACTCCCCCGGTTTTTTATTAGTTTGTTTAGCTTTGTTATAGAACGCGTAACGCTGGATTTCTCTTGCGCTCTTTCTCCTTTAAGGCCTTGTATCTGTGCGCTCCGGTTGATGGTGGTATCCGTCGTTTCGCTGACGGGTTGTATGTCTTCTGTGTGCGCGTTATTATCGTCCGTGTTTTCGCTCACACAGGGCAGACATTGCGTATCTTCGTGATTTGACATTTTCACTTCATTTCAGGAGATGTATATACTTCACTGAGTCAAATCCGGCTCGAATAAGGACCAATGTTATATCTCGATCGATGCGTCGAACGTTGTATATTCAAATGCGAGACGTGGGTTTCATTTTATACATAAATTTATTTCACCAAAAACCAGACAACATGCTTGACTATAAGTCTCGAGTCTCTCGTTCAAAACCTACTCGTATTTCACAACATTTAACTAAGCTATATAATATAATATGCGGCGTTGACAAGTGTTGACAAATACAATACAGTTCGAGTTCGACCCCTTAGGGCTTGTCGCTCAAGAGTATTATAACTAAGATTAATAAAACTAAACGTATATAAACAGGGTCATATCGTGCGGGCGGAACACGTGGTGATCAGCCAAGATACAAACAACTCTGCGAGAAAGTGGCAAATCTTATAGCTAAAGCTAAAGCCACCTACTATCGGTCCAAGGCCTCAGAATTTCGTACCTCGAATCAATCGAAGTGGTATAACTGTATCTACTCTTTAGTAAATGCCGAAAACACAACCCACACCCAATTTCCACACAGGCCCGAAAACCTAGACTTATCCGACTTAGCTGAAAAACTTCAGAAAGCCTTCACTAAACCATGGTCGGACCGTTACACGAATGTCGCCTTTGAAATACCTGAAGTGAACCACCCACATAAGAATAACAAACCACCTCTTCCTTCTATTGGCCAAGTTAAAGCGGTCTTAAAACATCTTAATCCAAGAAAGGCAACTGACATTGATAAGGTTCCTGCATGGATGCTCAAACAATACCACGAAGACCTAGCTCCTGTGGTTTATGACATTGTGTGCTGTAGTATAAGTCAATGTTGTTATCCATCACTCTACAAACATGCCCTAATTTCCCCTGTTCCTAAAGTGCAACCGCCGAGAGACATTAACAATGATTTCCGCCAGATATCAGTCTTACCCCATCTTGCCAAGATCCTGGAAAAGATCCAACTCCAGTTAAATATTGAAGACCTGAAAATTAAGAATAACCAGCACGCGTTTACTCAACATCGAAGCACAGTCTCTGCGTTAATATCAACTACCCAAACTTGGTTTAATGCCACTGATTGTTCAAAAACAGGCAAAATGGGGGTTCATGCGGCCTTCATTGACTTTCGTAAGGCCTTCGACCTTGTGGATCACAATATTCTTTTGAACAAATTAGCAGCTATGAACATAAATAAACCCTTCTGGTTATGGGTTAAAAGTTTCCTTTCCGGAAGAGTTCAACAAGTAAATCTCAATGGTACCTTATCATCCATTGCAACATGCCCGGTCGGAGTCCCGCAAGGCTCTGTAATATCTCCCATTCTTTTTAATACCTACATTGATGATTTGGAGGACGCCTTACCAGAACAACTAAAAGTCAGTACGAATAAGTATGCAGATGACTGCACACAACACCAAATAGTGAGTGTAGATTCTAATAGTAATTTACAACAATCTATCAATGAAGTAAATAACTGGGCGGTGTTAAATAAAATGGCAATTAATGCTAAAAAAACTAAGGACATGTGGATCTCTTTCACGGACGCTATACCTGAACCACCACGTCTTCGTATTGGAAATGAGTTAATAAAAAGGGTCAACGCTTTTAAATTACTTGGCGTATCGTTCCAAAATAATCTAAAATGGAACGCACATGTTGAAGAGATTACACGTAAAGCAAATAAACGCCTTTACCATCTTAGAGAATGCAGGAAATCGCAGTTACCAGCTGAAGTCGGTATTATTACCTATCAATCCAAAATAAGACCAATTCTCGAGTATGCATCACCTGTCTGGGCGGGACTGCCTAATTACCTGCGAGATGAAATAGAGCGGGTTCAATCCAGGGGCTTAAGAATCCTTGGCCTGGAAAAAGATTACCTACCACCGCTGAACGAAAGAAGGGAAGAGGCAACTAGTCGAGAAGTTGATAGGTTTATGAACGATCCAAACCATCCCTGTCGCAGTGTTTTTCCAAAATTAATTAACAATCAGTACAATTTAAGGAACATTGACCGGAATCGCAATATATCATTCTTCTCAGGAACTGAAAGGCATAAACATTCTTTTTCAGGAAGAGCTTGTAAATATGTATAAATAATTTTAACTTATTGGAAGAACTTATTAGTTTAAAGAACTTATTAGTTTTAACTTCTTAGTTAGTTTTCTAAATTATCTTACAACAATTTGTAATGTAAAGACATACCCACAGCATATATACTTTCTTAAACAAGTAATTGTAAGTCCATTGTACTTTTTTATCGGCTCGGGTATTAGGAAGCCATTTATATACGAGTCCTGATATTACCAGGACACACCCAAATACTTATACAACCTTGCATCATCAGTAAACGTTTCGTACCAGGACTTCTGACACAACCGTATACCAATTATTTCATGACGTGAAAATCGCCTAGGAAAACAAAGACCACAATTGGGATATTGGATGCATAGAATATCCGCGCTATTGGTTAAAAAGTTCATGTTTGGCAACCCAGGTGGGTGGTAGACGACACAGACTGCAATGCCTGAGGGAGGCCTATGAGTGGGGCGTAGCCAAAGCCACAAGCACTCGAAATTGTCGCTTTCAAGGTCAGTTCGACGCTTAGCATGGATATGCTGAGAGAGATAAACACAAACCCCATATCCACGTCGAAAAGGGCGATCCCTTCGGAAAATGTTATTACCACTAATTTAAACAAGGTCATCTTCTATATCATCGTTCAACCATGTTTCCGTCACTGCCACCAAATTTACTGTGTTCACGGATAGATTTGCGATAAGTTTGTCAACCTTTGGTAAAAGCCAATTTTGGGAGCGTGGGTTTCGAACTTTGCTCGTTTCAACAGGGTTACACCGTCTTACTCGTATTAAGTTAGATCCGTTCTGCATATTTCGGTTAGGTCTGTGACGACGGTTGCGATAAGAAATTATATAATAACTACAGTGAAACACGCAATTTGATTGGTCAATAGCCGTGCAGGACCAGGCTATCCTGCACGAGGAATTAAAACGCCTTCGCGGGATTTTCGCGTGATTCTCAAAATGTCATTGTTTCATTGTTTTTACGCTTTCCGAAAGTCTCGCGACATCCCTCGTGCATGGATCACGCAATCCTGCATGGAAAACCATTCGGTATTCCTTTATTCTGACTGGGATTGTGTGAGCTATTATACATATGTAAAATGAGTTCCCTTATGGGTCAATTTAGCTTCCTTCTCCACAGGGTTCTTGATGTTATCCTTGGCGCGCCAGGGTTTAAAGGTAACATATTTAAGCCAAAAGTTCTCTTTTTGCACTAGCGAACTGGCAGCCGAAGGGACATGACGAGAGTACTTCTCTGCGACGACTGAGGAAAATATATATATAAATATATATATATATATATATATATATATATATATATATATATATATATATATATATATATATATATATATATATATATATATATTGATATCGTATATATATATAGATTTCAACTGTAGGCTATTACGCTCCTTCACTTCGGTGTTGTTGAGCACTCTGCGGAGTTGTTAATGGGTGTCTATTAGCGATAATGCAAAGCTCACTTCCCTTGTAGTCGTTTGAGCACTCTGGCCCCATTACGCTCTGCGCATGTCTGGATGCGTTGAGTCACCGTGTTGTACCACATGCCTTGGTGAGAGCAAGTTCATGGGGTATAAATACGGGGGTATAAATACGGGTGTCTCACGTATCTAGATGTGTACCAAGCTGCACTGACGAGGCGTTGAACGCCGAAACATGCATGTCTGCAGATTGTACTATTACGCTCCTTCACTTCAGTGTTGTTGAGCACTCTGCGGAGTTGTTAATGGATGTCTATTAGCGATAATGCAAAGCTCACGTCCCTTGTGGTCGTTTGAGCACTCTGGCTCCATTACGCTCTGCGCATGTCTGGATGCGTTGAGTCACCGTGTCGTACCACATGCCTTGGTGAGAGCAAGTTCATGGGGTATAAATACGAGTGTCTCACGTATCTAGACCTGTACCAAGCTGCGCTGACGAGGCGTTGAACGCCGAAACATGCATGTCTGCAGATTGTACTATTACGCTC